GCGCGGAATTAAAAAAAACTTATTTAGTAACCAATGTGTTCTTAAACACTATGGTCTACATCTATACCGGTGTTGGATGTGCAGTAACAAACATCCATCCATTTTCTAGCATTTATAATATTAGTAACAAGTATTATATTAAGAAGTCATAGGTTATGTTGGAGTGTACAGTTAAGCTTTTTGTAAGCTTATTACAAAATAATTCTATGTACAGAATTTTATGTTTGAATATAACCAATGTATGCATATTTTCTGTTAATTTTGTTGAATACAATCAAAATAACATGGTGGTTAGAAAATAAAATATCCAGCGGAAGTAAAACGTTAACTTTACAGCTCTTGCGTGTCTGTCTGAACACTTACACGTGGAATGTAACAGGGCGTATAACTTTAAGTACAAACTCGTAACTTAAGCACTTTTCCAAAAAGGGTGGGTAGTTAAGATAGTGTTCATTATAGGTTTTAGTGAAATTTCTATTTCATTCGTCGAGATAATATCAAAAAAATATTTAAAAGTGCACGGAACATTATCTATACCTACATATAATAAAATTAATATTTTATCAGCATGAATTAAAGTGGCTGATAGAGTAAGCTGTATATTTGTCTGCAAGGCCAAGTTTGTTTTAGATCATCTCTGGAACGGCAGGGTCCTAAAGAAGCCACTTTTTTATTTAATTCTGAGCTCTTAAAATCGTGGGCGACCGTAACTTAAAAACAAGTCCTCAACTATGAAGAAATACTGGCCAGTCAGAAAACCTCTTTATATTTTTTCTTAACCAATGAAAAAGTTCACAAAAATACTGGTCAAAAATACAGACAACGAAACCATTCACAACATTGTTGTGTCGGTGACAGACTCGAGTCAAGAGACCGCTAGGATCTCAGACGTGACAAAAAAACGTTTTCTCTGCCGAATTGAGTTGTGTGTCTGTGGAGCGTAACTTTTTTATTGGCATAGATGAATTCGCAGACGAAATATTCAATAAGGGTGAAAATATGTCGATCGTTAAGAAAATTAGATTTAATGACAGAATTGAATTGTTTAAATGTTTTATATAAAATGATCCAAACTCAACTAAAATACAGATTATAAATATGTGCAAGTTTAACATTATTACATCTTCTATAATTATGAATGTTATCTTTTTTTTAAGTATCCCGTTTTATTCAGAGTCACGATTTTTTTCTTAAGGCGTCCTGTCAACGCATAGCAACGCTTGTAGGCATATCTTATCTTTTCTTAGAAGACGTTATATCGTTAAGGAAAATCAAGAAAATACAGAATAATATACTTATATTTTTGTACTGAAGTAAGAAATCAATTTATGCTTAAATCTGGCCAATTAACTTATTAACTCGTAATAAAAACTACTTACCTATTTTAATAACTACCTAGAAGCAAACTAAACATCACTAAACACTAAAAACACTAATAAAGTCGTTGTCGATTTCGATAATGTTAACGAAACGTCGGTAAAGTTCGAAAGCGCGGGAAAACGCGGAACCCAGACACGCTCGGTCCCGGCGGCTGTCGCGAGCTCTCTGGCCAACAGGGTGCTGGGATAATAGAGGGAAAATATACCCAAACGTCAGAATGCATTTCTATATTGCAAAAAATCTAATTAATTTTACACTAGCTTACGCCCGCGACCCTGTCTGCGTAAAAAAAATAAAAGTGAGTAACCTATGTGTTCTTTCAGACTGTCCTCTACTCTACATTTATACCAAATTTCATCGAACTCCGTTCAGCCGTTTTGGCTACAAACTCTAATAAACATCTATCCATCTAAACTTTCGCATTTATTATATTTTAGTAGGATTTAATTTATTAATTAACATTTGTGTTCAATCTTCAGTCATGTTAGGACAAACATAGGACTTGGTTTTAGCAAATTTATTTTATATTGTTTGTACCACATTTTCTTTAACCTAACCGTAATGTTTTTTTTTCTCTATTAATGTTGTATACCTATAACTGGATTTGTTATCATTCTTGTGTCTTATAACTTATTTCTAATGTAACTGTTCTATAACTTATCCGTTGGTGTAGTTTATAAATAAATAAATAAATGTTTGATAATAGGATTGAATTATTGGTGTTCTTTGTAACAGAAAAAAATGCCCACTAACTATTCAAATTGTTAAATTTAGTGTTTTTTTAATAATTTGAAAATTACGTGAGGTGTGACTAGCTTAATCATAAATGCTTGCTTGAAACTTTTTCTAGCACCTGGCTAATTGTTAACTGAAGTGAGCGTTCGGTGTTAAAAATCGGTGAACTAAACTCAAACTCTCAGGGACAGGGTATCACTATTTTAATTTATTCCAAAGAATGAATGATTTAATTCTAATAATTTTACACATTGCTTAAAATTGAATCACGCCATCTAGCGACGAAAACCGAAACTATTAAAAATGAACACTGGTTGGCGTCGGAGGAAATACTTTGTTACATAAACACTTTTTCAGATGGCGCTACCGACTTAAAAATATATGGTGAAGCAAAACAGTTACGTCGTGTTTTTTTTTTTATTTCAGATCCCAAGAATATTTGTTCAAAATTACCAGTACTTACGCATATTACTTCAGTAACATTTTACAGAAATCGCTCTTTGAGTTAATATCGATACTCACTCCGTAATTATTTACTTCCATAGTTTACCTTTTTAAAATAAATGCTAAGGTCAAGGGAAATTAAAATGATTAACTATACATTCTTTAAATATTAATGAACGGTTAAAAATACTTTGGTCATATAAATAACTTCCTGATCCAAGTAGACATATGACGTCATCGATTCACATTCATTTGTTTTCGAATAATGAAACATGATTAATCAAAATTTTTGAGAGTTTTAAAAGAGTTGAAAAGCGTACTTGTGACGTCAGAAGACGTCATTATTAACGAACTGATTTTGAGCTTTTTATTGCTTAGCAATTAGTCCATTATTGTAAGAGATATTTAAACATTATTATAATGTAACTTATAATTATATGTAACGAGCTACTTTTTTATCTTAATATTGCGTGGACGAAGTTGCGGGCAACAGCTAGTTATATGTAAAGGCAGAGATGTAAAAATTTTTTTTAATAAATGGTCTTAATTTAGAAGTCTTGAATAGTAGTTCTTAAAAGCACATAACCAAAAGTACGGACATTTTTTTAATGTAAAACTACAACAGTCCGCTATATCGCGAATTCCGTAAGCGACCTCGGTCAAGAATGTTAGAACAAAGGATTTGTTAGAACAAGCATATTCAATATCATACCACATGTCGTGCGTATAGAGTCCAATTTTAAATGACAGGATAGGGATTAATTAAGCAAGCACTTGTGGGGTTTTGAGCTAGTGATCCTATAATTAGTTGTTATATTGTCATGATGGAGACGCGAATATGGATATATTGAGCTAAGCAAGAAATAAATAACCGTACGCTGAATTATACGAGAAAATATAATTATTAGGTTTACATTCTTTAAAAATTCACGGAATGCTTAATTTTTCGTCATACAAAACTTCCTGTTCCTGTAGACATAGTTATGACGTCATCGATTCGCATTCAGTTGTTTTCAAACTGGATGAATCGATTTTAAAACGAATGGACAGTGTTATTTGGACCGCTTATTTTGAAAGTGGTCTAAATCCATTTACGATACGACGTATTTCATGCGTAATTTAATGTATTTTTTAAATGTAAAACTAAACCATGTTTTATAAATTGAAGTTAACTATATTTACAATTGTCTAATTTTGAAAGTGGTGTAAGTCATTTGTCAACATGTATTATTGCAGTTTAATTCGCCTCAAACGAATATAAATAAGAAATTGAATCTTTATAAAGCAATTGAGACATTACCAGACTTCATACAATATGCCATAATTTTTTAATAAACAGATATGCAAACCTCTCGTTTTCTCGAATGAATAGAAAATGTACTTACATCACTTTCAAAATAAACGGTCCATTTCCCGAAACACCTGAACATCATTATCGTCGTTTGTTTTTTAAAAAGAGAATAAGAGAGAAGTCAATATTTTTCTAGCATCCCGCCTTGACTATGCACATATTGTAACCCTTTATATTGGATTGTTTTTGTAGCTTCGAATGCTCTAATCTGCAGTCAACTTCTATTGAAGTTTAACAATGGTTTCAAATTACATATTACATCAACCTACGAGTATAATAAATTCAACATAATGCTATAAGTCAATTTAAAAAAAGAAACAGTTTTTTATTCGTTTTGAAACCGAACTTTGTTCCTCTAATATGAGATCTACGAAGCTATTGAGTTGGATTTATAAAGCTCTAATTTCTTATGATAATCACAGACGGAGACAATGCGTCGATATCACATTGTTTAAGGCGCAGTGTCTTCATACAAATTCTCTTGTTCTATTTCCATCGTTGGCTAGTGACGTGCTTCTTAACTAAATATACATTTTTTATATAAAAGTTTCACTTTTTTTCAACAAAAATCCAACAACTATTACGCAGAAGTGCGTATTACTTATTAAATGGTCTGTTAACTTATCATTTGCATATACACCTTTTGCCGGCGACTTTGTCCGTGTGAAATAAAATAAAAATACATATAGCCTATGTTATTCAATGATAACATAGCTTAATAGTGGTAAAGATTTTTCTAAATCGGTCCTGTATTTTTTTAGCTTATTTGTTATACAAAGTGTAAATGTTTCCTCTGTCTATACATGTTACAAATTGTACAAACAAAAAATCTTTTCTATAGAGATGACAGTGTAATAAAAAAAATAATTAAAATCTACCGCATAACGAGCGATAATTATTCAATTATACTTTAAAGATGAACGTTTAGTTTACGCAACCGTGATATAATTAAAAGCGTAACAGGCGCGAAAATGATGTTCGCAACCCTAGCTCGATCTCGAGGTCTAGATAATGGATACGCGCATGAGCAGTGGATACCGTGTACCGCGGATAGGTTCAGTGTGGTTCAGTGTGGCTCAGTCCGTACGCAGCGCGGCCGCGCGCCGCGAAAATATCCGATATAAAAACAAACGTGTTCAAATATAAGTGAACGTGATTTTTTTTGAGTGAAACAAAAACCCGTATGTTTTCAAAAATGAGGCGGAATATCAAGATATTGTTTTTGATTGCTGTGGCGTGGTTTTTCGCGCTGTTTTACTTCATGCAGACGGAGTCGACGCAGAGCAAGGTGGGTGCCGACTGCCGGCGTTTTGTTTATCGTCTATCAGCTGATGGGTTATGGACCTGCAATCTCGGCTGCAGTGCGCATGACCTGTGACTGCGGCACCCACGCTATATGATAAGAGTGTTACAGTAATGGGTCAATTTTTAAACATTTCTATTGAACTTGCTTTGTTTATTTGTTTGAAAACTAGTTTTATATAAATCAAACACTTTTAGTTCCGACGAAAATACAGTTTATCATAGATTAAAAAACAGTTGGTTGTCTGATTTTTGTGACAATGTCTAAAATAAAATAGGAATTTTATTTTATGTTATTTACGTGAATTTGTATCAGAATATTTTTTAATTGACTGTTAAACTTGAACTCAAGTTTTATTATTCGACTAAGCATAAAGATACCTAACATACAACAATACAGATCCTTTTCGTAATATTAATTTAAATATGCATTTTTGATACATTTTCTCGCAGTGAATATTGGCAGAATACAACATTTGCAACTTTTGAATGCCGCTTAAAGTATATTGTATAATAACAAATGAAATATAACCTATGAAAGTGATTTTTCGTTTCACGTTCACCTTGACCTGGTTGTCAATTTGAGAGCAATCAACAATCATTACAGTCGGCTACGGTCTCGGTGCCTTACACAAGAATACCCGCGGTATGCCACTAGAGTTACAAGTCAATCTATATAAATGGCTTATTGTGTACGTGATTAGGACGTTTTTATACTTTAATTGTCTTTATATGTACAATACAATTAACAATAATAAATAAGTTTCAACTAATAATTTAATGATGGGACAATTAGATTGTAAATATCATGTATGCGTGTTTCAGAAGTTGAAAACGACAGAAAACAATACAGGAAAATGTGATAAAATCTAAAGGGAAAATTGATATGAATACGTCTATTTGAAATAATATCTACCTTTTAAAGGCATAATTTAACATGGGAGTCGCCAGAAAAGGGACCAGAGTGAATTATCCCAGAACGTTAGCTGTCGTCCATTCCCTACTACCTTGATCATTTAGCTGGTGATATCTATGTGTCTCAACTCGTCCTGCTTTGTTAATAACCTAGCAATCATTAGCCGTCAGTATTCTAATAGTAACTCAAAGTTTTGATCTTCATAAAGATGTTTGGCAATTTTTCCAAACATAGTTCGTAAACATCAACAAAACAGTTGTTTTGTAATATTTGTTTGCGGTGGTATTTCCACTGGTACAGTTTGGTAATTATTTCTTCCTCAATACGACAATACTTTCGGAAATGAGTAACGATTATTTATAAAGACATTAATGTTATCTTTACACTATGGCACCCGCGACTTTGTTCGCGTGTAGAAAAATTATTAAAAAAAAAACTACTTTGTCGTGAATTATTAATAATTTCTCATGTTATTTTAACGACTTTAAATTATGCAAATGTTCAGATTTTAGACGATTTTGAATAATTCCATTAAAATACTAAAAAGAAATCTCAATGCAAGATTTTCCTATTTTCAACCTCGTATCTATTAATTGTTTTCATACATTTAATAATGGCCAAATAGTGCAACGAATCTTCGTTTGACTCAAGAATCTCGATTCGTAAGCGCCGCTTACAATCTGACGGACGTTAAGTTTTGATGGGATTTAAAGTTTATTATGACGTTGTTACATATATTAATGTTGTTTAACCATAAAATTCATAAACACTTTCGATTCCAATTGTATTTAGATAAATCAAACTTAATTCATATCGAATTAGTAGCATATATAGAAGTTGCAAGTCGACTTTTGTTTAGAAACGTTGTTACATAATCTTCACAAACTCGACTAGTTAATGTGTACTCTCTAAAATATAAAAAAAACACACAACTGCACGTCCATTAAAATGTTATCTAAGTTTTTAAGTTTTACCATCACGAGACGTTTGCAACAGGATATACAAATTAAGTCATTTACATACGAACAGACACTCATGTATCATCATAATAAAAAATAAAAACTAAAATGTGCTTTGCTCACATTATAACTAATCCTCGAATAACAAATTTTCGATATAGATTTATCCTCGCTTCTAGTTTTCATAATTATGATTAAGAAATGTAGGCAATATTTTCTTAACATATTTAAATATCTGAAAATAATATCATTTAAAACAACACATTCAACCCGCCAAGGCTTCACACGGGTTCAATGGTGAAACTAAAATGTGTTTATTAACGACGTTACATTAGAAACCTCTAAAACTAGCATTATTTCTCTACTAAATGTATTAAACACTTTAATCTTCTTAAATCACTCTATTAAAAAAATGCACACAAATAGTTCCCGAGTTTTAAAGATCTAACACACACAGGGACAGACATTTATTTATACTGTGCAGTGATACTTAATCTATACATTAAATATAAAAGTATCTTAGTTATTCGATCATTCTATATCCATTTAACTTGATGTACGTCTCATGCAGTCTATGAATGGTCTAAGTAGCCATAATTCATCCGCAACTTGCCGCATCTAGTGTTCGCGTGCCGAACACATATTAATGTCCGTAGTACACAGATCAACGTTCCCTAGATGAGGTTAGATTAGACATTTTAAAGTTTTTGATGAAACTTTTATAATCGATTTGAAAATTAGATGAACGCTGATTGATGTAAGACAGTATAAAATACATTATAATTTTGGTTGAACTATAATTTCATCAAATTTTTTAATGATGTAATTATACACAAACGTACATGTCGCATTATCGTTTATATTAAGTTGCTCTTATTTCCGTTTATAAACACAAGGACTAATTAGTAATATGAGGTCAGCAGAGCGCGTCGTTCCGCGACATTTTGTAAATTATTTTGACACAAGTGTTAAAATTATAAAGTGAATCACATTTAACACCTCCCCTGTCTTTTGTTTACAAACCAAAGAATCTTCTTTGTGATAATCAGTAAGAAAACATTGTCGTATTGTTCTGCACTTTCACTTACTACCACTGTGAACCTTTTTTTATTGAAAATGTATAAACGAGTATGTTCAATCGACTTGTAAGACTATCTAAGATATCTCTAAATAAACGTCTAATATATAAATTAACTTTATCTTTGTTTACGTATAATTTCGCTGTCTCAATAACCTTGTTTATTCCTCGAATAAAGCTACGTCGCTTTATTATTATTTACAAAAGGGTTCCTTTAATAATCTACCGAAGTAACCCTTTTAGAATATCATATATAAACATACTAGTTTTACTTACAATTGATTTTAATATGTTTAGGAACATTTTGCAACTTATCTCATTTGCCTCATAAACACCAACACATTGTTTTGTCTTTGTTGTTTTCATTGCTTTTATTTAATAACCTTAAATAAAACATTCAATTATATTCGAAAGTCTACTTTTTTACCTTAAATGATAATTAGCTTTATTTTTATTCATCTTAATGGGTTTTATAAATAATTCTCAACAACTATGTAGTGCCACTTCCATCAGATTTAAATTCCGGCACGAAATGTCTACGCACTTGATACTTGTAGGCAACGACGCATAATTATGTTACGCGTATATTTAGTGTGCGACTTTCGCCTTTATATCTAATCGCATTAGAGCTGTTATTGCATGTTTTGTGAACGATAAGTACGATCACGTAACGCACATTCACTTTCCGTTATATTTTGTTTTCTTCTTATCGTATGCGTAAATTTTATTTAGTACTAGCGACCCCACAAACTAAAAAAAAATTGTACAATATGAAATATTAAAAAACACTCCTAATTAAGTATTAGTAAATCATATTTTAGTATTGTTATTTTATCACGAGAAAGTTGACTGCGTCAATAACATTTGGAATGTTCTAACAAAATTAACATAACAATAAAGTTAAAAAAAAGATATCAAAAGTACGTTACCACAAGATTCGATTCCAATCTTGTATGAATTTTGCAATAAATTATTTTTAATTTAAAAAATTTGCAAGAATTCAACACATTTTATAATACTACGCTTGATTAAAAAAACAATAGCGGCATGCGTTTTATTCGTGTTTTACCTCTTTTTTATTTAATTTAAAAAATAATACTAACGTGTCGACTTCAAGCGATTTGTTCATTTTCACGCACGAAACGGTTTGTTTTTTATCACTTGGAAATTCTCACGGCACTGCCTCGGTGAAGTCGTCCGTTACTTTCAAATTAGACGCACTTTGTACCATTTTTGGAACACTTTTTGAGACTTTGTGGCATAATTAAATGTTTCTAGTCAGCAGAAGTAAATGTATACATTTACTTTTTTATTTTTTTTTATCTACTGTTATATGATAGACTATTAATTATGTATCTACTTATATCTAGACTTTTTTCACAAATTATCTTACATGCTTTGTAGTATATATTAGTTGTAAAATTTCCTGTTTGCGAATTGTTTGAGGAAAAGCAATTATTGTTTAAAACAATTACATTTCCATGACATTGTAAAAAAGGATTTATTCTTTGTGGAGGTAAAATATTAAGAATACTAGATACGTTTTAATAATCATTTTCTCAACAGAATTTTCTATAAAAACGCTTTCCGCGCGTATAAAAAAAACAATTAGTAGTCTGTGTTCTTAGTATGTTCTACGTCTATTTCCAATTTCAAGCCGTTCTGGACATAGTTATAACTAAATATGCAACATCCGTCTATGCATACATTCAAATTTTCGCATTTGCAATTAAAAATATAAGCTACATTTCAAAATTATAATAATACAATATTGGAACAATTATAAATACAGTAAACTTATTTAGTAATAAATAGAAATTTCTCTTCTTGTGTAATTCAGCGGACAAATTTTCGTTTTGGTTAGTGCTAATTTAGTACCTATTTACATTGACATTGGTGTGAGTTTCTAACACATTACGCAAGTACGCACAGCCTACTGAAATTTGTAAGGAAATATCTGTTACTTTCACTATGTGATAGGATATACTATGTCATCTGTAATCATCTTGTTTCTTTTCTTTGACTCTTAGAAC